TCTTACTGTCTTGATTTATGTAGTTTTGTTAAGTTTTGATATCAGGGAGTGTGTTCTTGTTTTTTAAATTGTATTGGCTATTCTGTGGCTCTTGTATTTCCATATTAATTTTGGAATTGGTTTGTCAATATCTGCAAAAAATACCAGCTGGGGTTTTGACAGAGATTGCACTGAATTTGCAAATTAAATTGGAAAATATTGCCATCTTAACAGTATTAAGTCTTATAATCCATAAACATGGGGTGTCTTTCCATTTACTGATTATTTTCTTTCAGTGGTGTTTTTTAATTTTCACTGTGGAAGTCTTGTATTTATTTTGTTAAGTGTATTCATAAGTGTTTTATGCTTTTTGATACTATTATAAATGGAATTGTTTTCTTAATTTCATCTTCAGAGAGTTCATCTTAAGTGTATAGAAATACACTTGATTTTTGTTTGCTGATTTTATATCTTGCAATCTTGCTGAACTTATTTACTGACTCTAATATATTTTTAAGTTGATCTTTTAGGACTTTCTGCAAACAAGATTATTTATCCTGTAAATAGAGATAGTTTTACTTTTTTCTTTTTAGTCTGGATTCTTTCCCTTCCTTCTTTCCTCTCTCTCTCTCTTTCTTTCTTCTCTCTTTCTCTCTTTCTTTCTTCCCTCTCTCTTTCTTTCTTTTGTTTAATTGCTCTGACAAGAACTTTTTTTATTTTGTTTAGATGGAGTATCACTCTGTTGCCCAGGCTGGAGTGTAGTGGCATGATCACAGTTCACTGCACCTGCCACCTCCCAGGTTTAAGTGACTCTCACACCTCAGCCTCCCAAGTAGCTGGGACTACAGATGTGCAAAACCATGCCTGGCTAATTTTTGTATTTTTAGTAGAGATGGGGTTTCACCATGTTGACCAGGCTTGTCTCGAACTTCTGACCTCAGGTGATCCACCCACCTCGGTCTCCCAAAGTGCTGGGATTAAGGCATGAGCCACCGCACCTGGCCACTGGCAAGAACTTTCAGCACAATATTAAAGTTGCAAGAGTGGATTGATCAGGCTTGGTGGCTCACACCTATAATCCCAACTTTTTTGGAAGCCAAGGCCAGAGGGTCATGTGAGCCCAGGAGTTTGAGACCAGCCTGAGCAACATAGGGAGACTTCATCTCTACAAAACAAAACAAAACAACAACAACACCACACATACAGAAAACAAAAACAAAAACAAAAAAACAGACAAACAAGGCTTGGCACAGTGGCTCGTGCCCATAATCCCAGCAGTTTGAGAGTCCAAGGCAGGCGGATTGCTTGAGACCAGGAGATCGAGACCAGTCTGGCCAACATGGTGAAAACCTGTCCCTACTAAAAATACAAAAATTAGCCAGGCATGGTGGTCCATGCCTGTAATCCCTACTACTCCAGTGGCTGAGGCATAAGAATTACTTGAACCTGGGAGGTGGAGGTTGCAGTAATTGCGCCACTGTACTCCAGCCTGGGCAACAGAGCAAAACTGTCTCAAAAAACAAAAGAAAGCAAAACAAAAAACAGTTCACCAGGTGTGGTGGCATGGGCCTATGGTTTCAGCTACTTGGGAGGCTGATGCAGGATGACCACTTGAGGTTAATGTTGCACAGTGAGTCATGAATGTGCCACTACACTCCAGTCAGGGTGACAGAGCAAGACACTGTCTCAAAAAAAAAAAAAAAAAAAAAAAGAGTGGATGTCTTGTCTTGTTTCTGAACTTAGGGAAAGAACTTTCAGCTTTTCATTATTAAGATAAGAATTGTGGGTTTTTCATAGATGCACTTTATCAGTTGAGGAAATTCCTTTATATTCTTAATTTTTTGAGTGTTTTTATTATCAAAGGATGTTGGATTTTATAAAATATTTTTTTGCTTTTGACATGATTATGTGGTTTTCAAACTTTACAGTTTATTAATATGCTCCTTTACATCAATTGATTTTTGTATGTTAAACCAATCTTGCATTCCTGGCATATACACTTGCTCATAATGTATGATCCTTTTGATATGTTAGTGGATTCATTTTATTAGTACTCTTCTGAAAAGTTTTCATCTATATTAATATGGGATAGTGATCTTTTTTTTTATTTTGTTATGACAGCTTTGTCTTTTGATATCAGGATAATGAAGGCCTCATAGAATGATGTCTCTGAGCTCTGTTTATTTTCACTTATTCTTTATTCTTCTTGTTTTTTATAATACAATGAGTAATCTCAATTGACTTGTCTTCAAGTTCACTGATTCTTCTGTCTGCTCAGCTCTGCAGTTGAGCCTTTCCAGTTAATTTTTTATTCCAGTTATTGTACTTTCCAACTCCCAGAATTTTTAGTTGGTTCTTTTAAAAATATTTTATGTTTTTTTAATGATAATCTATTTGGTGACATGTTTTCATACTTCAATTCTTTACATATAGTTTCTTCCAGTTCTTTGAACATTTATGGGAATTGATTTAATCCATTGAAAAGCTGATTTTGACAGTGTTCTCATTGTTTTCCTGGAGAGTGAATTTTGGAGGTCCTTTACATGCGTCTTCAGAACAACCAATTGTATAGTAGCTTTCTAAAGCTACATAACAAATTATCACAACCTGAACCATTGAAACATCACCCATTTTTTATCTCGTTTTATGTAGGTCAAAAATCTGGATGCAGAGTAACTGGATTTTCTGCTCATGGTCTTACAAGGTTTAAACCAATATTTATGTTAAATTATGTTCTCTTCTAGAGCCCAGGAATCTCCTTTCCTATTCAATCAGGTTGTTGGCAGAACTCACTTCCTTGCTGTTGTAAGACTGGGGCCTTTGTTTTTCTGCTGCTGATGGCTGGCAGTTAATCTAATCTAAGCTCCTGGAGGCCTTCGTTAGTATCTAATATGACCTGGCAGATTATTTATTCAAAGTGAGCAGGAAGAATCTCTCTGTAGTCTGATAAAATCAATTTTTTTTTTTTTTTGAGACGGAGTTTTGCTCTTGTTGCCCAAACTGGAGTGAAGGTGCTATCTAGGCTCACTGCAACCTCTGCCTCCTGGGTTCAAGTGATTCTCCTGCCCCAACCTCCTGAGTAGCTGAGATTATAGGTGTGAGCCACCACGCCCAGCCAATTTTTGTATTTTTAGTAGAGACAGGGTTTCACCATCTTGGCCAGGCTGGTCTTGAGCTCCTGACCCTCAGGTGATCTACCCACATCAGCCTCCCAGATCACGCCTGGGATTACAGGCATGACCACCCTGCCCAGCCAATTCTTTTTTTAAATTTTTTATTTCCATAGGTTATTGGGAAACAGGTGGTGTTTTGTTACATGAGTAAGTTCTTTTGTGGTGATTTGTGAGATTTTGGTGCACCCATTACCTAAGCATTATACACTGCACCCAATTTGTAGTCTTTTATCCCTCACCCCCTTCCCACCCTTTCCCCCTGAGTCCTCAAAGTCCATTTTGTCATTCTTATGCCTTTGGATCCTCATAGCTTAGCTCCCACTTATGAGTGAGAACATATTATGTTTGGTTTTCCATTCCTGAGTTACTTCACTTAGAAATAGTCTCCAGTCTCATCCAGGTCACTATGAATGCCATTAATTCATTCCTAAATCAAGTCTTATATAATATAAACTAATCATGGGAATGACTATCTTATCATATTCACAGGATCTGCTCACACTCTGGGGAGTGGGGGGGCAATGGCTTGCTCATGGGCACATAGCTAGTAAGAGGCAAGGTAATTCTTCTGAATCTAAGTAGGGTGGCCTCTGTTCTGCCCCCACACCTGTCTGCCAGGTTAAAGATCTGTGTTTTGTTTGTTACAAGGCAGACATTGAGGACATTAGTACCCGAGGCCTCTTTAAGGGACTTTGCTCTGAAATGGTCTCCTCCTGGGCTCCTGCATTCCCTGCCTGTGTGTTTGGGGAGAATACCTGAGCATGAAAAACAGTATTAACCAGGAGTTTTTGACAAAATGGAGTTTTCAGGGGTGAACTGCAATTTAAATAATTAAAAAATTCCATTTACTTTCAGCAATGTATTTTGAATGCTCCCCCTGGGCCAGCTCAAAGGGAGCACACAGTCATCTCCTGCAGAAAGAAAATGGAATTTTTATTTTTGTCTTGAAAGTGCCTTGAAATCAGCAATCTCAAGGCTAGCAGTGGGGCCTCAACAAAGACATCATCAGAAAGAACAGCAGAAGGTTCTGAAGGTAGTCAGCCATCAACCAAACTCACTCTCGCTTTAATGGTTTTGCGTGTGCTAGAAGAAATTATCCATTTAAGACCAGCCTTCCTACCTCCCTATGCTCAGTCTCCTGGTTCTATGTGTCTAATTATCTAAATGATAATGAGTTTTCTATGGTGCCAATCCAAACCTTTTAATTATTCATCTGTGTCTTTCTATAATAATGCAAATAGGTGCTGATAGCCCTCATCAGTCAATCCTTCAAACATTTGAGGACAGTGGAGCTGGGATGTGGGTTCCCTCTCCAGACTTTCTTTAGTTGGCTCCTGCACAAACTCCCCAGCTGCTGTGGGAAGGTCGTCTCATCATCTACAGAGGGTAGCCCCCTTGTTTCAAAGTGGAAACAAACTTGGTAGGTATATTTCATGCTCCAGAGCTCCCTGTGCAATCAGGTTTGGGCTAGACTCCAGCTGAGATCACATCCAGTTTAGCCACCTTCCCATTCTACCTCCTGCGTATCCTCCCTCCTGAGAACCCTTCCCAGGGAATCACATGCATTCAAAATCACAGTGTCAGGTGCTGCTTTGAAGTCACTGACTTAAGAGAGGTATTAATAGTAAAGAAGGTCTGCTGTACCCTTCCTATATCTAAATGAAAAAATAAAATAAAAATTACATCTAGGAATTAAAGACCTTGCTGTAAAAAACATCCATTTAAGTAAAGTAGTCCCACTTTTCCCCACTAATTTGGAAGTCATGTACCTCTCAACCTCAGCTATCTGGAACATAGAAAAGGCCTATAGGGAACTAACCTAGATATTGCAAAATAAAAGACAGTCTGTAACTTTATTTATTTATTTATTTTAAGTGCAGGGTTTAGAATGTCTCCTCTTTCACATGCTGGGCAACTGCACCTGGCTGAGTGTAACCTCTCCAGCCCTTCAGTTCCTGTCTGCAAATGCAAGCTCACCCCAGAGTCTCACAGTGTTCCTGGGAAGACAAATACATAATAATACAATAAATGAATTAGTACATATCAGGGCTTCAAAGAACAGAGCTTTTATTATTAAGGCCTTTGTGTGACAGGGTGCACACACTTTTAGTCTGGTTACAGGCCAATTTCTATTTCAATTCTGAGGCTCAAAGCAGAATTTTTCTTACGCACAAACAAAAACAAAACCTCAACAGCTCTCAGTGAAGCAAAAACAAACTTTGATGTTGTCTTTCCCCATGCTGGGTTCCCTTTGGAGAGGAAGGGCATGGACTGCTGAACAGGTGGAGAATGTGGGTAATGATGTTCCAGGTATAGAGAGGTGGACATAGACAGCAAAGACAAATGGACATCGTCCTGGGGCCCTGGAAGTCTGGTGGGCCTCAAGTCTCTGGATCTGCCTCAACCAGAGAAAGGGAAGCAAATGTGTGAGGTTGCATTTGTTAGCATTTATTTAATCTGGGGAGTGGGTACCCTGTGGATGTTTATCTTACTGTCTGTAATTTTATATAAGTTTGAAGTATTTAAAAATTTTTTAAAAAGAACAAATGTAATAAAGGACTAAAGGAGAATTATTAAACCCACATTGTGAAATGAACTAAGCATGGTATAATTTACATTATTCTTAAGTCAAATTAATATTTATGCACCATGTGTATGCATGTATATATCTGTCTCTCTATAGAGCCAGTTACATACTATATGATCATATTCACATAATACATGCATATATTTTACACACGTGATTTTAACTGAATCTTCTTACCAGCTTGGCATCTGCCCTGAGTTAACAAATGAGCAAATGTTTGGGTCCTGTTTTTATTCTGTTATTGCTCATTTCTCCTCAGATTTCAGGTTAGCCTCTTGCCCTCAGTTCTTTAATGGGTTCAAGAAGAGTTTTTAATGTGCAACTTGTCCAGCTTGTCTCTTGTTGGAAGGGTGGGAGCAATGTTCTTTCTAGCCCTCTATATTCTGAGGCGAAACCAGAAGTCTCTGCATTAAAATTTTGAATCTAACCATGTGCCCTGGCTTAGAAAGCATTCTTCTCTTGTTTTTTGTTTTGTTTTGTTTGTTTGTTTGTTTTGACGGAGTCTCGCTCTGTCCACCCAGGCTGGAGTGCAGTGGCGCCATCTTGGCTCACTGCAAGCTCCGCCTCCCGGGTTCAGGCCATTCTCCTGCCTCAGCCTCCCGAGTAGCTGGGACTACAGGCGCCCGCCACCTCGCCCGGCTAGTTTTTTGTATTTTTTAGTAGAGACGGGGTTTCACCGTGTTAGCCAGGATGGTCTCAATCTCCTGACCTCATGATTCGCCCGTCTCGGCCTCCCAAAGTGCTGGGATTACAGGCATGAGCCACCGCACCTGGCCTCTTCTCTAGTTTAAAACAATTATTGTAGTTAATTTCTTTTTCTCAGATTCCTAGTGAAGTTGAACATCTGTTCTGCTCTTCATTAGTCATCTGTAGCCCCCCAGAGCCAGTGTAGTCCCAGATCTGCCCTCAGGAGTCCTGGGTGGGAGGATCTGGGGATCTAGTAGGGAGGAAGATATGGAAGGTTGATTTCGGGAGGCAGAAGAATTGATGGAAGTGGTCCCTAGTTGTCGTTCTCAGCTTTCTCCTTAGGATATGCTCATCTTGGGGGTTAAAATCACTCTGCCACACATTCCTTTTCATTCCTCCAAGATCTGACCTCCCCTCCCCAGGATAGTTTATTTTAACTAGAATTTCATTCTCAGTCATCCTACCAACAGAAACTCGAGCCAGAAGACAAAGGACTCAGAACTGGACTCTGGCCCTCTCTTGGGGGAAGTATTATCTAAGGCAAAGTGGAGGAAGTGGTATCTGTCAGAGCACTGGGAGGAGACCCCACCTTCAGATTTGTATCATTCGAAGAGAGTTTAACCTTGTCTATAATGTGAGTAGCATATAAGGAACCCAAGAGAAGAGGCAGCACCAGGGACAGGAAGAGCAAATTTCTTTGATCACTCCTAGGTCCCGGAAAAAGAAGGAGAGAGTGCTCTATAAACCTGGAGTCAGAGAGGGCTCTGTGGAGAAGCTTCCTGACCCTAGTGAAACTCGAAGGGGAAGGAGATGGCATCTGCAGGTGTAAATCTGAAAATAAATACGCCACCTCCTCCCCATCTCTCCCTCTTTCTTCTGCTGGCATTTATAATTGACCAAAGACAATTGTGAGCCAAATGGCAACAAATCCATTGATATATGCAGATAGGCCGACCAGCCAGGCACAGAAGAGAAGGATGGAGAATGGATATGAACTGGGGAATGGGATACGTCCAGCACTACAGTGATGGGGACTGTATCTCATCAGGTACTCACAGCTACTCAAAGATTTATTGAGTTAAATACCAAAGTACTGTATAATGATAATTATTTTACTCTGATAATTCAATCACTATTTGAATCACCCTGTAAGGGATTTGCTATTATTACCTCCCTGAAAAGCAAGTCAGAGTGATTAGATATTTGCTCAAAGTCACACAGCTATAAAGTAGTGATACCAGATTTCAGTGGAGGTTTATAAGACTCCAAAGTCCTTGCTAATAGCCACTGCACTTTACAAACTTATTCTAGCTTCTCTTGGTGTAGTCCTCAAAACCAGACTCTTTTCCCTCAGCACTCTTAGGAGGCTTTTGGACCTGGTTCCTTACCTTTCTCTCTTTCTTTCTTCTTCCTTCCTTCCTTCCTTCCTTCCTTCCTTCCTTCCTTCCTTCCTTCCTCTCTCTCTCTCTCTCCTCTTTCTTCCTTCCTCCCTCCCTCCCTCCCCCCCTCCCTCCCCCTCTCTCTCTCTGTCTGTCTGTCTGTCTATCTGTCTTGCTGGTCTGTCTCCCAGGCTGGAGTGCAGTAGCACAATCTCAGTTCACTGCAACCTCCACCTCCCAGACTTAAGCAATTCTCATGTCTCAGCTTCCCGAGTAGCTGGGATTGCAGGCGCATGCCACCTCACCTAGCTAATTTTTGTATTTTTAGTAGAGATAGGGTTTCACCATGTTGGCCAGGCTGGTCTCAAACTCCTGACCTCAAGTGATCTACCTGCCTCAGCCTCCCAAAGTGCTAGGATTACAGGTGTGAGCTGCTGCGCCCGGCCTGGTTCTTTACCTTTCTTTCCTCTCCTACTGTGGACTGAGTCACAGTGTTAAGAAATTTGACCCATGCACTATAAGACCAGACTAGACAGGGAAGGCCAGGATTTGGAATGCTGGCAACTAAGCAGGGCACAAGGTGGACAGAGCCAGAGAGCCACAGAGTGACCCAGAAGAAAGGCACGTGCAGACCAGGTGTGTGGTCTCCTGCTTTCACCTGTAGCGTGGCTGTCAACCCAGGGGAGAAAAGGGATACAAAGATGATAAGTCTAGGCTGGAACAGCTCCCAAACAAGTGTGTGAATGTTCACTCCCTGAAGTGTGTGAAGGTGACATTGCTTTCATCCAGGAAAAGCAGCTTTTATACAGCACTTTAGATTTAAAGCAATACTAATACGCATTCCCAGGTATTTTCCCATTGGTTTCCTACAAAAACAGAGAGCAGGCCGGTGGCATTGGCTCACGCCTGTAATCCTAGCACTTTGGGAGGCCAAGACAGGCAGATCACGAGGTCAAGAGATCGAGACCATTCTGGTCAACATGGTGAAACCCTGTCTCTACTGAAAATACAAAAATTATCTGAGTGTGGTGGTGGGCCCCTGTAATCCCAGCTACTTGGGAGACTGAGGCAGGAAAATCACTTGAACCAGGGAGGCAGAGGTTGCAGTGAGCTGAGATCATGCCACTGCACTCCAGTCTGGTGACAGAGTGAGACTCTGTCTCAAAAAAAAACACAAACAAACAAAACAACAACAACAACAAAACAGAGAGCAATGAGTCTTCCTTACTGACATTTTTCACCATGACATTTTTCACCTATTTTTTCTCAATGACCAAAAATAGGTTTGTGCCAGGCAGGGAAGGTGGAATGTTTTACTAAACTGTGGGCTTCCTGAAGATAATGTTATTTTATTTTGGTACCCCTACTATCTAATGTGGTGTCTGGCACTTAGTAGCCATTATGAGCAAACACACATGCACCTCAACTAACAATGAGGTTAAGTCCCAATAAACTCACCGTAAGTTGAAAAATCCTAAAGCAAACCACTGTAAGGCGGGGACTGTCTGTTTTTGGTATTGTTTTTGAGACAGAGTTTAGCTTTGTTGCCAGGTTGGAGTGCGGGGGTGTTATCAGCTTCGACCTCCCAGGCACAAACAATCCTCCCACCTCAGCCTCCCAAGTAGCTGGGACCACAGTATGAGCCACCATGGCCAGCTAATTTTTGTATTTTTTGTAGAGACAGTGTTCCACTATGCTGCCCAGGCTGGTCTTGAACTCCTGGACTCAAGTGATCATCCCTCCTTGGCCTCCTGAAGTGCTCAGATTTTAGGCACAAGCCACCATGCCTGGCCTACATTTGTTAAATGAATGAATTAAAAATAGAGTAATAGAGCCATGAAGGGATTGGGGATCAAGTAACACCAGACACATAATTCTGGTTCTGTTGCTTATTGAGTGAGAGTCTTTGAGGGACGCCATCTAGTCTTTCTGAGCCTTAGTCTTCTCATATATGAAATCGGAGAAAAAGAAAAATTCCTGTGGTTGCACGATTGTTGGTAACACACACACACAAATACACAATCTCACTCTCAACACCACTTTCACATCTGGCAAGATAACCATGATGACATGATGATGGTGACTGTGGAGATTAAAGAACACCTTCCCTTGGGGGATCTTATACATTTTGTTATTGTTGCCTCCATTATTTGAAAGAGTTTCTTTTCGCTCTGTTGCCCAGGCTGCAGTGCAGTGGCATCATCTCCGCTCACTGCAACCTCTGCCTCCCAGATTCAAGTGATTTTCTTGCTTCAGCCTCCAGAGCAGCTGTAATTATAGGCATGCATCGCCACATCCAGCTAATTTTCGCATTTTTAGTAGAGGCGGGGTTTCGCCATGATGGCCAGTCTGGTCTCAAACTTCTGACCTCAAGCGATCCACCTGCCTCAGCCTCCCAAAGTGCTGGCATTACAGGTGTGAGCCACCATGCCAGGCCCCGAGCTTCCCATTTGAGAAAAGAGCAGATGAGAAAGTTCTTCAGGGAGCAAGGTGACCTCTGTTATTAAATCAACACCCCAGGGCAGACTCAGTCTCCCCTACTTATCATCGTTACAAAGGAAGCTTTAAAAGCCACCCCACCACGTTCTCTCAGAGGTAAAAGCTCTCTCTGCAGGGGTTTGCAGAGTCTTCCTAGGCTGAGGTGTCACTGGGCCATGAGCTGCGTGCTTAAACAGTTCAACTCCAGGTTAGTTGCAACTTATTTTTTCTTCTTTATTTTCCTTTTTTTTCTTCTTTATTTTCCTTTTGCCAGTTAACTTTTCTCAGTCTATAAATGTTAGATTTTTTTTGGCCAGGTGCAGTGGCTTATGTCTGTAATCCCAGCACTTTGGGAGGTCAAGGCGGGTGGATCACTTGAGGCCAGGAGTTCAAGACCAGCCTGGCCAACATGGTGAAACCCCGACTGTACTAAAAATACAAAAATCAGCTGGGCGTGGTGGTGCACGCCTGTAATCTCAGCTACTCGGGAGGCTGAGGCAGTAGAATCGCTCAAGCCCAGGAGGTGGAGGTTGCAGTGAGTCGAGATCACTCCGCTGCGCTCCAGCCTGAATGACAGAGTGAGTCTCTCTCAAACAAACAAACAAAAAAAAAGGTAGAATTTTTGCTTCTCTTCTTCTCACCATTCGAGGCCCATAACTTCACTCTTGTCTCCATACCTCCTGCCACTTATTTCTCCAAAATTGATATGTTTAGTGATAAGATCAGTTAAGATAACATTTAATGGAAAGAACAATTGTCTGACTCCCTCTCACTCTGAGAACTAGCTCTTACTGGACGTGGTGGCTCATGCCTGTAATCCCAGTGCTTGAGAGGCTGAGGTGGGAGCATTGCTTGAGGCCAGGAGATTGAGACCAGGTTGGGCAACATAGGGAGACTCCATCTCTACAAAAATAAATAAATAAATAACAAAAAATAACTAGCTGTCTGCTTGATACCTACCTATGATTTGATTGGGAGACTACAGGCAGGGGCTCTCCTAAATCTGTGTCTACTGTGCTCCCAAGACGTGCTGATCACTCTCCTATGTGACCTGGATGATGGGGGAGGAGAAAGGATACTGGAACGAGGAGTCATAGAATACAAGGCATATAGCAACTTTCCTTTAAGAAGTTAGCTAAATATATATATTTTTTAATGTTTAGCTTGGTCGCAGTGGCTCACTCCTGTAATCCCAGCACTTTGGGAGGCCGAGGTGGATGGATCACTCAAGGTCAAGAGTTCAAGACCAGGCTGACCAACATGGTGAAACCCCATCTCTACTGAAAATACAAAAAATAAGCTGGGCATGGTGGGGGGCGCCTGTAATCCCAGCTACTCAGGAGGCTCAGGCACAAGAACCCAGGAGATGGAGGTTGCACTGAGTTAAGATCGCGCCACTGCACTCCAACCTGGGCAACAGAGTGAGAGTCTGTCTGAAAGAAATAAATAAAAATAAAATAAAATAAAATAAAATAAAATAATTGTTTCTATGACATACATCAGATACAAAGGTATCTGGTCTATAGTGCACATTATAATGAGGCTTATCAATGTGAATCACAGTCATGAATCCAAGATGGGATCAAAGCAAACTTACCTGAAATGCTCAGCATTAGTAAACATTGCTTTATGCTGCAGGAAAATGCACAGCGAGTATATTGAAAATTTTATGTCCAGCATCTTTGCTCCCTTCCCTTCCCTTCCCTTCCCCTCCCTTCCCCCCTTCTCCCCTCTCCCCTCCCCCTCCGCCTCCCCCCTCCCCTCCCCTCCCCTCCCCTCCTCTCCTTTCCTTTCTTTCTTTCTCTTTTCTTTTCTTTTTTTTTTCTTTGAGACTGAGTCTCACTCTGTCGCCCAGGCGGGAGTACAGTGGTATGATTTCTGTTCACTGCAACCTCTGCCTCCCAGGTTCAAGTGATTGTTGTGCCTCAGCTTCTTGAGCAGCTGGGATTACAGGTGTGTACCACCACGCCCAGCTAATTTTTGTATTTTTAGTAGAGACGGTGTTTCGGCATTTTGGCCAGGCTGGTCTGCAACGACTGACCTCAGGTGATCTACCCGTCTTGGCCTCCCAACATGCTGGGATTACAGGCGTGAGCCACTGCATCTGGCCTGCTTTAAGGATTTGAAAAATATTGTGTGACTCTGATAGTCCAGCAACCAACTGATGATGTGGGTTTCAATCAGATTTTGGTTCAATAATCATCATGAATGATTCTATGGGCTTTTTGTATTTTGTTCTTGGCCTTTTGGTCACACTGGGGCCTGAGGTCTCCTAAAAATAGATTACTGGCCTTGAAGCCCACTAGGGCAACCACCCTTCTACACTGACTCTGTAGGAATATGAACACTTCATGTGTTCTTAACTTGCACGTTCAATGTATAGAGTGTAATCTTTAATAATGATGAGGAAGAGGACATATTACTATCCTAAGGTATACTATACTAGGTATTGCGTTATGTTATTTTAGCTATTCTTCACAAATACTCTGCAAAGTAAATTTCTTGAAAATAGGTTGCACCTGGGTGATACCATCTTCCCGATTTGCTTTACTGCCTATTGCCTTCAATAGCTTTGCTTTTCTGCCTATTGCCTTCAAAATGTATATAGTTGCATTTGTCTTTGCCTTTCCTGATGACATGTTGAGAAGATTCTGTAGCTTCCTAGTCACTTGCAAGTGTGTTTTTTTTTTTTTTTTTTTTTTTTGAGACAGAGTCTCGGTCTGTCAGCCAGGCTGGAGTGCAGTGGCACGATCTCGGCTCACTGCAGCCTCTGTCTCCTGGGCTCAAGCGACTCTCCTGCCTCAGCCTCCTGAGTAGCTGGGACTACAGTTGTGTACCACCACTCCCAGCTCATTTTTGTATTTTTAGTAGAGATGGGGTTTCACCACATCGGCCAGACTGGTCTCGAACTCTTGAGCTCAGGTAATCCACCCACCTCGGCCTCATAAAGTGCTGGGATTACAGGCAAGAACCACTGCACCCAGCCCACTTGCAAGTATTTTAAAAGTCCAGTTCAATCTAAACCAAATTTAATCTCACATTCAGGTTAAGGCTTCTCCCCTCTGCTCACCTCGGGCTTGTCTGGAGGCTCAGGTGCCAGGAAAGGCGTAAAGACGTTGGTTCTGCTCTTCTGCTCTTTGCAGTACTTCCTACCCTACTCACCTAACTGCTGATGGATTTTCCAATATAATAGCAGTGGAGGGATGAGAGATGGAGGCAGATGCTAGCTGTGACACTCTCTTAACTGTTGAAAACCTTCCAAATGGTAGGATCCAAATGTTGGCTCTTCCAGTTGACACTTTTCATGGGGGTTCTTCAGAGACCCTGACTGGCCATGGGCTAGGTGAAACCTGTGATGTCTCTCAGCTCCTGTCCCTGGTGGTACCACAAGTCCCCTTGAGCAGAGAGAAATTAAGCTGGCTTCCTTTTGTGGCATTTGCCTGCTCTGGCAAAATGCACACATGCTTGCTCGCCCATTGCGGGTAGCTTTGCCAAGCTCCAACCTCAGTCTTCTCCAGGCAAACACTGGGAAGAAAAACTACGTTTTCAATGTCAAGAGAACATATTTTAAGATCTCCTGAGAACTCCATGATATTCCACCCTCTGGAGCAGCTTGGGACTAGCTTCTGCATCTCTGTGTCCCAGCAAGCATCCAGCCTGGGAGTGCGATGCCAGTCTACCGTCTTGCCGTGAATCCTCTCTCCAGGATTATCTCATACTTCCTCATACTACCTCACTTTGCTTGTGAGTGAATGAAAGCAAGCCATCTGCAATATTACAAGCCTCTTTGAAAGAATTTTTTTTTCCCTCTAAGGAAGCTGCTAATCTTCCCATAAACAAGCTGTTGAGAGTATTAGATTTGGTCATGGGCTGGCAGTTCTCATCCAGAGTGGTCTACCTCCTCTCTTTAGAATGCACAGCTGCTTAGCTATGTTCCAATCTTTAGGGTCTAAACCAAAACTCTAAATCCCATTAAACATTTGTTATAATCCCTTTACCCACAAGGAATGGAATTGCAAAGAGATTTGTTGCAAAATGCTCAAGGTTAGTGAGTTTATAAGAGCAAAAATCAGATTTAAACCCTCACCTGGTCCTTCTCCCATGTAGTCTTTTTCATATTCCAGAGGACCCTTCTTAACTGAAGTTGCCTAGGACCATGAGAGAGGAATTACACTTAATTCCATTTGACAGACAGTAAACATAGGCTCAAAAAGTTTAAGAGACTTGCCCAAGATTAACCTGTGGATTATAGGAATTGAATGGCTCACACACAGGAGGCTACTTCACAATCACCTTAACAAAGGATTATTAAAAATGTGTGGGCAGCCTTAGGAAGCTATAGGGGATGGTGCCATAGTCCAGGACTAGTCAGAAACGAAGAACTTAAGAGAGAAGGGAAGGAGAGAATTGTGTTCAGAAGCCACCTTGAGAGAAGTCAGGTTGTAGGATGAAGCCAGTCCTAAATCAGAACTCAAGGAGGAGGCTGTACTTCCCACTTCTCCTCTCTACCTCACTGTCCTCTGGGAGCCAAACCCAGTGTGGTGCCAGAGAGTACCAGAGCCTGAAGTTCTTTCTAGAGGTCAGTCTCCCAGAGAAGAGAGCAAGAGAATGAAAGGTAGAGAGTGGATTTGACCTACTTAGCCAGGAGTAGAAGAGCTGGGTTTTCAATCTGTGCCTGCCTGCCCCAAACCCTATGCCACATTTTTTTGGCTCTGCCCTTATTTTGTTATGTGGCTGGGACACTTTCTCTGCATTGTAAACACTCTTCAGCAGGGACTTTTCTTACTGTCCTTAGAAATGATTCCATCCCGAGCATGCATGTGGGATAGTCACATGTGATTTTCAGTAAAAGCACATTGGCTGAATGAATTAATGGACGGGGGGGACAGGTTTGATATGCATAGGGACAGTATGAGCAAAGGCAGAGAAATGGTGTGCACTACAATAGCTCCCTGCATAGGTATTTAAATGAGACAATTCATACAACATTTCGTTTACACATTTGTGTATACAAGATCTCATTTAAACCTCAAATCAGTTCCTCAATTATCATTCCCTGATGAGTTCACCAAATTTATTTGTTTAGTGACAGTAGCTGAAGCAAAATATAAATGCAGATCATCTGGCTCTAATCTCTTTCAAGCACCCCTCAATTGAATACAACATGGTGAGATAATAGGATAACCACAATTTATTCTCTCTGTCTCTCTCACAGTCTCTCTCTTTCTATTTCTCACTTCCTCTCTAGCTCTCTGTACCTCTCTTTTGGTTTTCTCCCTGCTATGATTTATTGTTGAAATCAAATCATCTATCCTTTAGCATGTCTCACATTCTGGATATATCTCTTTGCTTTATTGTAGTTTCATTAAACTTGTTTATCACATGCTGTATTTCTTGTAAGTGAGCTCTCATGGCTGGATTTGATAAAGATTCAGCTTGTTTCAAAATGTTTTGGCAAGAAGATGCTTCACAAGTGGTGCTGTGTGTTTCACACTAAAGCATATTGGGATACACACAAAATTAGCATGACTATCCCACCTTTCAAGAGGCTAAGAATGATTGGTGGGTTCAGGTGTCTTAAGAAAATTTTAATCATCATTATTAATAACTGCTATTATGGGCCGGGCACGGTGGCTCACGCCTGTAATCCCAGCACTTTGGGAGGCTGAGGTGGGTGGATCACGAGGTCAGGAGATGGAGACCATCCTGGCTAACACAGTGAAACCCCATCTCTACTAAAAATACAAAAAAAAAAAAAAAAAATTAGCCGGGCACGGTGGCAGGCACCTGTAGTCCCAGCTACTCCGGAGGCTGAGCCAGGAAAATGTCGTGAACCCGGGAAGCAGAGCTTGCAGTGAGCTGAGATTGTACCACTGCACTCCAGCCTGGGTGACAGAGTGAGACTCTGTCTGAAAAAGAAATAAATGAATAAAAATAAATAAATAAACTGCTATTACGAAGTTAAGGATCAGCAATATAGTGGGGGCTCTGCTTGGCATCAAACATGTTATCTTGTTGAATCTACACAAAAACTATATGAAAAAGGGATTCGTATCCTCATTTATCAAATGAGAGCACTGAGGTTCAGAGTGGTAGGTGCCTGGAGTCATATAACTCATGAGTGACAGAGGCAGGATATAAATGCAGATCT